AACAAGACAGAACACCCCAACTATGTGGACACCCCCCCACCCCCACAGAAGAATGAACTTCAGAGGACAGCACTGGAGCTACAGCTTGGGGAAAGGGGCGAGTCGGATTAGAGCACATGGGAGAAAGGACAAAGATGGAGAGGGAGGAGAGGACATCCTGGCCCACCAAGCCCGGGGATGATGTTCTTGCTCGAAGCAGACAATGCACCGGGAGGTCCGCAAGGCTGGCCCCACCACGGGACATGGCGTCCTTCACTGAACCATGGCGCTGAGGGAGACAGCACTGGAGACACAATGCGGGAAGAGTGCACCGTCTGGACCCATCATGCTGGGGCGAGGCACTGAGGGCATGCAGCAGAGCAGCAGGGGGAGCAGAGTGATGAAACCCCCAGGGAATACCAAAAACAGACTTGGGAGACCGAGTGTGGCACCCCATCAGACTCGACTGGAAAACACTGGTAAAGACCAACAAACAGACCTTGAACTAAGCTTTTCAATTTTTGTCAGTAGCTTTCTTTTTGTTATTGTTTTTGTTTTTTTGTTGTTCTTATTGTTTTGTTGGTTTTGACTTCCTTTGTGTTTTATTTGGCTTTGCCAGGTTTTTGCACTTATTAATGTATCTGCATGTCTAGCTAGATAAGATAGGCAGCATAGGAGATGAAAAGAATGGGACCAATGGTTTCGAGGGGGAGGGATACAGGAGAAGGGGAGGTGGGAGAAGGGAAGGGTGTGTATGATAACCAACTCAGGGACAAGAGAACAACAAGTGAACTATAATCAATGGAAGGAAGGTCATAGGCTGCCTAGTGAGGCTTAATCAAGGGCAATGTAGCAGCTAAGAATTACTAAACCCGAATCAAGGCTGACCATGATGGTGGGACAAGAGGAAAATAAAAGGAAATAGAGGAAAGAACCAGGAGGCAAAGGACATTTATAGAGGCCTAAATACAGGCATGTACATATGTAAATACATATATAACGAGCTGGAAATAGAACTGTGTACTCATGTCTATGTGTTAAGAATAAAGGTTGCAGATGGACATTGGGCCTCTACTCAACTACTCCCTTAACACAAGAACACTTTGTTCTAACAATCCGGCATTCTGTGATGCTCACCTTCCTGACACCATCACTGAAGACAAAGTGGGTGCATAAGAAAATGTGGTGAAGAAAGCTGATGGTGCCTGGCCATCAAAAGATATAGCATCTGGGGTCTTAAAGACTTGAAGATAAACAAGCAGCCATCTAGCTGAGAATCAACAAAGTCCACATGGAAGAAGCACACCAGCCTGTGTGATCATGAATTGTCGATGGCATCAGGTATCAGACATCTAAGACCCAGAATAAAACCCTACCCAAAGTGAATGGGGTGGGGGCGTGGCATGGAGTGGAGACCCAAAGCCCATCTGTAGATAATTGGACATCCCCTCACAGAGGGGTCACAGGGAAGAAATGAACCAGTCAGAGTGCAGTAGCACTGATGAAACACACAACTTTCCTCTAATTCTTTGGTGCTTCCTTCACCCCACTATCATGACCTCAATTCTACCTTTCAAATTGGATTAGACCAGAGCATGCACACTGCTACAGATCATAGCCCGCAACACAGGGAACCCAAGACAGAGAAACCCCTCTGGGCCAAAAAGGAGAGTAAAGAAACCAGGAAGATTTGGGGAGGGTGGGGCAAGAAAGGGGGAAATTGATCACAAGGAGCAATCTAGAACCCTCTCCCAGGAGGTCGAATAACGGAAAAGTGGGTGAGGGGTGATAGAGGACGATGTTAGATATGGAAATAATAATATTTAACTTATCAAAGTTTGAGAGGGAGGGTGGGTGGGGGAGGGAGGGGGAAGAAATGGGTAGCTGATATCAGGGGCTCAAGTGGGAAGAGAATGCTTTGAAAATGATGATGGCAGCATATGTGCAAATGTGCTTGACACACTGGATGAAAGTATGGATTGTGAAAAGAGATGTAAGAGCCCCCAATAAAAGTATTATAAAAACAAAAATAAGACAGAGCAAAACAAAGCAGCAAAAGAAAAGAAAATAACAACAACCAAAAAGGGCAAGCATATAAATAGTTCAAGGTCTGTTTGTTGACCTTTAGGAATGTTTTCCAGTGGAGTCTGATGGGGTGCCAAACTCTGGCCCCACAGCCTATTTTTGGTATTTCCCGGCAAGACTTCCTTGCTTTGTTCCTCTTCCTGTTCTGTTGCAGGGCTATTATTCTTAAGATACATAACAAGTTACAAAGCATCCTGAGGCATAGTGAGTACATTAAAGGAATACTATAATCCTTTAACCTTGATGTGTATGTTCCATGACTGCTCCTTATCAATCTTATGCTATGACCAGGAAAGCTGAAAGAGTCAAATTGACCTCAAACAGGATGTAAGCGGTAATGAACATTCGCACTCTTGTTTGAACTGTTGTGAAGCAATTAAAGCGTACAATGAAAAACTTATGAAACACTCGGTAAAGAGATTTTATTTAGCTAGGGCTAAGCCCAAATCAAAATAGCCTACAGTCTTGCACACAACTTACAGGATGACCACCTCAGGTCACAAAATGGAATGCAACTACATCACTTCATAACTAACAAATCACAACATTACTTAACTGCCGTATGACACCATTAGTTAACTACCAAATCATAGCATCCAATACTTACCAAATCACTGAGACCCACAGCCCAGTCACGTTGACACACAACCTTAAATGTCACAGCCCAGTGTTACTTTTGCCTTGCCACTTGGCAGAGTAATTTTTCTTACTATTGTCATGATGAAAAATGACGGATAATGAGATAGTCGTTAAGTGAGGAATAGGTGTATCAGTGAAATAAATTAAGTCATTAATTTTAAAAGGCCTATTACACAAGAAAATATGATAAAACCCCAATGAAAGGATAGTCAGTGTTATAGTTAGTAACATAATTAGGCACCGATCAGTTACAAGAAAATTCACTGCTTTAATTCCAAGATCCAAAAAACTCCCAGAACAAATGCACAATTCCAATACTTTATTTTCTGATTACCAGGGTTCTACCAAACTCGACCCATGACTTCTTGGTCACGGCTTATACCTTTATTATATAATAATGAGTATGATGAAAGTAAGAATTTAATTCTGGAAATGTCAAAAAACATGAGTGGTATATGCAAGATTGAATTATACTAGAATGTTTAAAACATAATCTTATCATTTTATAGTGTGATGTGTGTGTGTTATTTCAGTGAGTGCACTATTTGTGACTCCTACTGGTCTGTAAGCTTGTTGTCCTGTGGTGGTATGTGTTGTTGTGATGCGGGGAAACTATGTCACTGGTATGTCAAATATCAGCCAGGTGACCACAATGAACAGATTTTCACATCGTTTTGAGACTGAAAGCAGACTAGAAAGGAGGAATAAACTGTCCTTTTCTGAGGAATTAGCCACCAAAAACCCTATGAATAGCATTGAATCATTGTCAGTTACTGAAAACCTAATGGGTAGAAGCAGAACACTGTCAGAGATAGGGTGCGAACAGAAGCTCCTCAGGTTGGGAAAGGCACTGAAAATCTGACCGAGGAAGAGCTGCCGCCTCAAAGTAGAGTTGAGTTGGCTGGAGTAAAGTGTGGGAATAAAGCTTTCGGGAGTTTCATTTGCTAATGAGGCACCCCTCAAAGTAAGCTGCAAAGATCAATGAATAATTGAACCTTGGAATGTGCAAAGTATGAGCCTAGGAATATTGGAAGTCATCGAGCATGAAAGGGACCAGGTAAAGATCCATAATGTAGGCACCAGTTAGCTGAAATGGACCAGTATGGCTTCTTAGCCCACTGACTGGAAAAGATCCATATTTATACCCATTCCAAAGAAAGGTGACCCAACAGAATGCTCAAAATAAGAACAAATCATTGACATCCCATCTAAGACATTTTTAGGGGGTGGTGGTGGCGAGGAATCATCCAGAAATGGTTGCAGCAATACACTGACAGGGAGATGCCAGATTCAGGCCTAATTCAGAAGAGGACATGGAACAAAGAACATCGTTGCTGAAGCCAACTGGATCTTGGCTGAAAGTAGCGAATCCCAGAAAGATGCTCCCTTGTGTTTTAGTGACGATGCAAAGGCATTCAGCTGTGTGGGTCATCACAAACGATGGCTGGCCTTGAGAAGAACGAGAATTCCAGAACACTTCATGTGCTCACGCAGAAACTGTACACGGATCAAGAGGGAGTTGTGAGAACCGAATAAGGGTTGACAATCAGGAAGGATGTGTGCCAGGGTTGTAACCTCTCACCATATTTAGGCCATCTGTATGCTGAGCAAATAATTAGAGAAATTGGATTATATGAAGAAGAATGTGGCATCAGACAGATGAACCCCTCAGGATCAGTGGCGATACCAGGAGGGTGGACGGAGGGTGAGGGAGGAAGGGGGAACAGATTACAAGGATCTACATATAACCTCCTTCCTGGGGGACAGACAGCGGAGAAGTGGGTGAAGGGAGACGTTGGATGGTGAAAGATATGACAAAATAATAATAATTTATAAATTATCAAGGGTTCATGGGAGAGGGGGAAGCGTGGAGGGCGGAGAAAAATGAAGAGCTGATACCAAGGGCTCAAGTAGAAAGCAAATGTTTGAGAATGATGATGGCGACATATGTACAAATGTGCTTGACCCGATAGATGCATGGATGGATTGTGATAAGAGTTGTACAAGCCCCCAATAAAGTGATTTAACAAAAAAAGAATGGAGGAAGCCATGGTATTTTCAATCACCTCATATGCCTGTGAAAGTTGGACACCAAATAAAGAAGACTGAAGAAAAATCAATGCTTTTGAAATATGGTGTCGGAGAAGATATTGCAAAGACCATGGACTGCCAAAAGAACAAAAAGATCTGTCTTGGAGAAAGTACAGCTAGAAAACTCCTTACCGTTAAGGATGGCGAGAGTTTGACTCACGGATTTCAGACATGTGGTCAGGAGAGACCAGTCCGTGAAGTAGGACATGGAGCTTGGTAAAGTGGAGGGACAGCACGAAGGAGGAAGGCCTTCGACAAGATGGATTGACACAACGGCTGCAGTGATGGGCGCAAACATAAGAACAACTGTGAGGAGGCACAGGACCGGTGGTGTTTCATTCTGTTGTACATAAGGTTACTCTGAGTTGGAATCAGCGCAACAGCACCTAAAAAGTACAGATATGGCAATGCATTCGCCTTGCTTCGTGTTTACTGTGGGTGCTCTTATTATGTGAGAAGATGGGCTGGAGCGAGAATGGTCTCAACTGAGAGCAACAGAAGCAGGGCAGGCTAGGTAAATTTTGCCCACATGAAGGTGTAGATTTTCTTAGTCTACCAATTTTGAAGGTATACTAGATAAAGCCCTTGGATGAAAGAATTATGCGAGTGCTTTCAGATTTAGTGTTGCTTGTAAAACGCATTTGTCGAACTGTTTATGAAGGTTGAATCACGTTTAGTTTTCTGAAAACGAAATTTGAATCATCCTTATAGTCGATTCTCATCTTTATTTCATTTGATAAAATGTGCAATCTTTTCTCTTATTTATTAAATCATTTATTTTCGGAGGGAAAATTTGGATGATAAGTAAAAAATGTTCAAGCAGGCAGCTGAAGGTTTCAAACATTTTTGTGTGATACACAATCAAGAAGTTGGAGACCACTTTTATTCAACTTGTTTATGTTTAAGCAGTCTTTATGGTGGCGTTTATCTTGTTTAGATACTTCCCATCATACTGTTGGCTATTTAACAGATAGAGTTTTAATTCTATCACTTCCCCTTTTCTTCTCAGCCTTTGATTTTTTTAAAAAAAAATCATTTTATTAGGGGCTCATACAACTCTTATCCCAATCCATACACACATCAATTGTGTCAAGCGCATTTGTACATTCATTGCCCTCAACATTCTCAAAACATTTGCTCTCCATTTAAATCCTCGGCATCAGGTCCTCATTTTCCCCCTCCCTCCCCGCTCCCCCTCCCTCATGAGCCCTTGATAATTTATAAATTGTTATTTTGTCATATCTTGCCCTGTCCGATGACTCCCTTCACCCACTTGCTTACCTGAGTGTGTGTGTGTGTGTGTGTGTGTTTAGTCCTTTTGCAGAGTTTCAGAAAAATGAGGAATCCACTCTTTCCTTGAAAAGATCTCTTAAGAAATGTACCCAAAACATTGAATTTCTTTTTTCATAATAAAAAGAACTTGTATCAGTGAAGATTTTTTAGGTTGCAGTTACAGAAGTCAACTCTGCATTGGCTTAGGGACAAGTGGATTTCTTCAGAGAAGGTGAGCTGGAGGCTGCTCCCAGGATCAACGAGAAGCCTGAAGGAACAGACAGCGTCAGTGATCTTACCGCCAGGAACTTACTTCACTGATAAAATACATGAGATTCAACCCTATTTTCCACCTCTCTCCTATCTTCCTACTCGACATAGATCATTTAATTGACAAAATTCAGGTTAAATAGTCCACTCCTTGGCCTTCCCTAAAACTGAAGATCTGTGGACTGACCCTGGATACTTCCCTTCAGCTTCCAAAGGAAGGACACCATCCTTCACTATCACACTAAGTTTGCACACAGTGGGCAAGAACATATCAGCCAAAATGAAATCGGAATGCTAGTAAGAAAGGATAAGAAATCCTGGAAATATGTTGACATACAATCTATCCCGCCCCTCTCCCCCCACCTTTTTACTTGTAGAGTAGAACTGGTTCTACCTGAGCCAATTGTTTGCCAGAATAACATGCAGGTGGTTCTTCTATCTGGAGCCCTGGTGGTGTAGTGGTTACAGGTTGGGCTGCTAACCTCGAGGTTAGCAGTTTGAAACCACCAGTGGCTCTGTGAGGGAAAGATAAGGTTTTCGATGCCTGTAAAGAGTTGCACTTATAGAAACCTGCAGAGCAGTTCTCCCCTGTCCTATAGGGTTGCCAGGAGTCAGAATTGACCCGATGGCAGTGAGTTTGATTTTGAGGGTTGGGATTTTCTTTGGGAACCCTTTTTATTTCTTTGAGTGCCACAGCAATTCTATAGATCGGAACTATACCCCAGCTGGTGTTAGTTTATATATGCGACTAACTTATTCACACAACCTGTGAGTCTGCCGAGGGAGCCCGGGTTATAGACATCGACCACAGGTGACTACAACAGCTTTAGTCTGTGTTTCTTGAAATTGCTATCAGAGTGATTGTGTCCACTTGTCTTTCTGAAACCCAGGAAGTGTACCTGCCCTTTCTGGCACGGGGTGCTTCAGTCCTACAAAGTGCTTCCCACTTTTGGGGCGAATAAATCCTAGTTTTCCAGCATGTGGAGACACCTCCAACCCCATATCATGGGAGAAACTTGCAGAGAAATTGAGTGGCATGCATGTAAATTGAGTGGCATGCATGCTACTCTGAGCATCATGGAGATTAGCGGACCAAACCTTATTCACACCTTTATGATAACCCAGGAGCTTGAAAATTCAAGACACTATGCCACTCAGAGCTCTCATTTTGTTGAGCTTCTTGGAAATAAGCCCAGAGCACGGCTGATGATCCATTTCAAGAAGTGGCCTATGTGCATGGTACACGGAGGATGGCTGTAAATGAGTCTTTGTCCTCACACACAGGTGTAAAGAAGAATGGAAGTGTCTCTTATGGGTTCGGAGTAATGGCCTAGAACATTATTTTTAATTAAGGCAGGATGCGGCTATTGAGGGCTTCTTTCATTTTTAATGGAAAACAGCCATGCTTCTTTTTATTTTTTTCCCCCAAACCATTTTATTCGGAGCTAATCCAGACATCATACCATTCCATAGTTCAGTCACATCAAGCAGTGCTGCACTTTATTTCATTGTGCCTCACAGATAGGGTTTATTTATTTATTTATTACACCTCGAAGGCTTGTTGCAATGGCTACCCCCCACCACCAATACAGCAAGTTGATCAGGGTCAATTTTCCAACGACATGTACTCACTTCATGTCTTGTGTCGCATTTTGGCAATTCTCACGATATTTTGAGCTTTTTCATAATGCAGTTTGCACACTTGGAACCCTGATGGCATCGTGGGTTACAGGTGGGACTGATCACCAGAAGGTCAAGGGTTGGAAACCCCCAGCTAGGCTGAAGGAGAAAGATGAGTCTTTCCATCCCTGTATGGAATTACAGTCTCAGAAATCCCCAGAGACAATTCTACTCCTTCTTACAGGGCCACTGTGAGTGAGAAACAACTTGAGCGCATTGAGATTGGTTGGGAGTAATTATTATTACTTAATCATTTTATTGGGGGCTTGTACGACTCTGATCACAATCCATGCGTACATCCATGTATCAAGCACATTTGTACATTTGTTGCCATCATCATTTTCAAAAATTTTCTTTCTAATTTTCAACAACTTTGCTTCCAGCTAATTGTTTCTCTAAATGAACCTCTTTCAATTCCCAATCACGTCAGAATTTTCTTGGACTCAACACAGTACACTTTTCCTCCATACGTTCTCTGACTAACTTCACACACATTTTCAGTCTCCCACAGAGCAACTTTCTGAGGGGACGACTTCAGCCCTCACCTCCCAGCGAACTATTGCAAAGTCAGCCTTCCCTGTATTTCTGACTCAGAAACAGACAGCAAGATTTTCTTTCTGGACATGAGAAGAGTATTCTTACGCTAAGACGTTCCTGTGTCTTCTTATTTTAGGAGTTTGTGCTGTCCGTTATGGGCTGGCCCTCATTTTACAGATCTGTAATTTTACAATTTATACTCAACAACTGAACATGAGCATTGCCATCCCAGCCATGGTGAACCATACGACCGCATCTAGCCCTCCCAACACCTCCACAGAAAGACCCTCCAC